ATGTCTTAGATCCTTGTAATGCTGAGAAGGGTTCAGTTTAACCTTCTTAGTCATTGCATAACGTGGCTGCTATTGTGTACAAAGTCCTCTTGGCTCTGCTCACTTCACTCAGCATCAGACCATATAAGTCTTCCCAGGTTTTTCTGAAGTCAGCCTGTTCATCATTTCTTATAGCACAATAGTGTTCCATTACATTCATATACCACAACTTGCTCAGCCATTCCCCAATGGATGGGCATCCTCTCAATTTCCAATTCTTTGCCACCACAAAAAGAGCTGCTATGAATATTTTTGTACATGTGGGTCCTTTTCCCATTTGTTTGATCTCTTCGGGATATAGCCCTAGAAGTGCTATTGCTGGATCAAAGGGTATGCACAGTTTTGTAGCCCTTTGGGCATAGTTCCAAATTGTTCTCCAAAATGGTTGGATCATTTCACAACTCCACCAACAATGTATTAGCGTTCCAATTTTCCCACATCCTCTCCAACGTTTATCATTTTCCTGTTTTGTCATGTTGGCCAATCTGATAGGTGTGATGTGGTACCTCAGAGTTGTTTTGATTTGCATTTCTCTAATTGATAACGATTTAGAACATTTTTTGATATGACTATAGATGGCTTTAATTTCTTCATCTGAGAACTGTCTGTTCACATCTTTGACCATTTATCAATTGAGTCCCTTCCACTTTCTAAGCCTCTTCTATACAAGGAAGATAATAGTCCTTTCAGGATTCCTATCTCCTCCCTCTCCAGTGCTGTTGTGAAGCAGATGCTATTAGTAGAATCAGATAAGCTCCTTGAAGCGAAGACTACGGGCAGCTAGAGAGCTGTACACAGAGCACACAGTGCTGGACTTGGAATTGGGAAGACCTGAGTTCAAATCCAGCCACAGACACTTCCTAACTGTGACCCTGTAAAATGGGAATAATAATAGTACCTACCTCCCAGACTGTTGTGAAGATTAACATGAGATGAAATCCTTGTCTAGTGCTTGGCACACAGTGCTGGACTTGGAATTGGGAAGACCTGAGTTCAAATCCAGCCACAGACACTTCCTAACTGTGACCCTGTAAAATGGGAATAATAATAGTACCTACCTCCCAGACTGTTGTGAAGATTAACATGAGATGAAATCCTTGTCTAGTGCTTGGCACACAGTGTTTAGTAAATGCTTGTTCCCTTCTAAGGATGATTTGTTTCGTTTCTATCTTCGTGTCCACAGTATTTGGCACACACTACGAGCTCAATACATGTTGGTTTGTTGGAGTGTGGCTTGTTGTTACAAGCCAGTATCACTTTGCCATCTTTGTACCCCTGGCTTAGCACAGTGCCTGGCACATGGTAAGCAGTTCACAAATGTTCGTTGGCTGATTGACTCAACGATTCAGAAAGAGTCTATCCGGAAGAACTGAACTCGAGCTTGAAAAACGCTACAAAAGCTGCTTCACTCGAAGCCCAGAGGCTCCTCAGGGAAGGAAGAAGAGACCCTGGCTGGCTCTGTCCTATAATCAGTGCAAGTGACACAGAAGCAGAGAAGTCGAAGGAGCCCGTGCCCTCTAGAAGCTTCCAGTCTAATGTGGGGCATGGTGGGGGAGGCAGGTTAAATGTCAGAGAGGAATGAAAGATTGGAGGAGAGAACACATAAAGGCAGGGTGGCCTGGGGAGGCCTCAGGAAGAAGGGAGTAGCCCCTTGAGGTGAAACAAAGAGAATTTCATAACAGGACACCTGGGCAAAGCAGATGTTCTCTGTCAGCCATCCTTGTTATCTCTAGATTCTATCTCTCTACTACCTACCGGCACTAAACCTTCCATTTCCCCTTCTCTGTTACAGTTCCAGCCAGAGTCCCACCCACATACCAGGTGCCTCCTGGGACAGTAAGGCTCAGCAGTGGTTTCCATTGTGTGTCACCCTCCACTCTCACGGGAAGTGGGGGTAGGTGAGAAAGGTTCTGGATTTAGAACAGATACAGTTTCAAAATCACCACTACCTAGCTTTATGACCTTGGTCAAGTCCCTTTCTCTTGCCAGGTCTCAGGTCTGACATTCCGTGTTCTAAGTTCCCTCCCAGACCTGACATTCCCTGTTCTCAGGCCCCTCCCAGCTCTGACATTCCCTGATCTAAGGTCCCTCTCAGCCCTGCCACTCACTGTTCTATGGCTCCTCCCAGCCCTGACACTCACTGTTCTCAGGCCCCTCCCAGCTCTGACATTCCATGATCTGATAATCCCAAGACTTTCATCCTCTACCTGTGATTTGAATCATCACAAAATAAATGCCCATCACCCATAGTGTGGTGTTTAGACATCTCTGGTATCGAGAATATGCACATTTATGAAAAGTAAGATATCCTTCATTCCCTTTGCTTTTGTGCTTTGCTTGTCCTTAACCCTAGATTTACTGCCCCTCCCCCACCATTCCTCAACTCCTTGTCATCTGTCTTCTATCCCCACCATCTGTAGAAGCTGAACCTGCCAAGGTTGTTCTCACAATCCTTTTTGGCCTTTTCTACTGGGATCAGCACTACAGGGCATCCTCTCCTTTTCTCCTGGTGTCCCCTCTACCTTCCTGACCGTTCCTTCTCAGTCTCCTATGGAGTACCTGACTTGGGCACTCCTCTCTCTCTATATTCACACTTGATGACTTCATCAGCTCTCCCGGGGTCATGTATCACCTCCATGCTAATGATATCAGAGGTACAAAATGAGCCTCAGTCTCTCTTCCAGCGCTTCATGACTGCCCTTGTCTGCTGGACAGCTCCACCTCCTTGAATCATCATACCTCAAATGCTGCATTGTCTTCCTTCGTAAGGCTCCTCCCTCAAACTTTCCCATTTCTCTGATTGGCATCAAAACCCTCCCAGGTTCACAGACTCAACCTCATCTGCCTAACTCTGTCCTTTCTCTTACTTATCATATCCAATCAGTTGCAATCTATCTTCTGTCAGTCTTGCCTCAACAAGAGGAATTAATGAAATATTCCTCCCAGTCTGCAAAGGGGTAGGAGACTACAGACACCAAGCATCCTATACATGGTCTAAGATGGTTACTTGGATGTTTTTGCTTTGTTTTCACAAGCGAAGGTGTAACCTAGAGAGAATTGGGGTTGAAATGGCTACGATGTGAAGACAAAAGGCATTATTAATAAAACATTTTTTTTACATCAAAATTGGCTTCCATAGCATCTCACAGAGCCACCACCTGGTCCAGGCCCTCCTTATCTCTCACCTGGAGATGATAGTGGCTTTCTGATTCGTCCCCTTGCTCCCAATCTCTCTCCCAATTCCAATCCATCTAGCAGCTGTCATAAAATCTCCCTAAAGCTCAAATCTGACACTTCCCTCCTGCTCAAATGTCTTCAGTCAATCTCTTATTGCTTTCGGCATAAAACAACCTCCTTAGACTGTCATTAAAGGCCCTCCCCAATGTGGCTTCAACCTGGGAAGACCCTACTGGCAGGTATTACTGGAAAGCTGAAGCCAAGTGGGGCCACTCAGGAGGCAGGTATGAATGCAGGGCTGGTGCTCATAAGAGGTGCCAGCTGTGGGGCCCACACAGTGAAGGGGGGTGAAGTGCACAACAGAAGGAGGTTGTCTAGGAAGAGCTAGAGAAAGCTGAGAGGAGAAATCTGAGGCACCACCCACATTCTCAAGCCCCCTGAAAAAGCTGGAGAAGGAGCCAGGACAGATAGGAGGGAGAATCAGGAACACATGACCTTTTAAAAGTATTTTATTTTGTTCAATTACATATAACAACAATTTTAACATTCATTTTTTTAAATTGAGTTCCAAATTCTCTCTCTCTTTCCTTGCCTACCCCCTCCCTGAGACAGCAAGCTATTTCATATAGGTAATACATGCGCAGTCATGCAAAACATATTTCTGTATTAGTCATGTGAAAAAAAAAACACAAAAAGTAAAAAATAGTATGCTTCAATGTGCACTCAGATTTCATCAGTTCTTTGTCTGAAAGTGGGTAGCATTTCTCATCACGGGTCCTTCATAATTGTCTTGGATCATTATATTGCTACGAATAGCTAAGTCATTCACAGCTGATCACCATGCAATATTGCTGTTACTGTATAAACTATTCTCCTGATTCCGCTCACTTCACTTTGCATCAGTTCATGTAAGTCCAAGTTTCTTTAAAAGCATCTTGTTCATCATCTCTTATAGCACAATGGTATTCCATCACAATCATATACCCTAACTTGTTCAGCCATTCCCTAACTGATGGGCATCGCTTCAATTTCCAATTCTTTGCCATCACAAAAAGAGCTGCTGTAAATAGTTTTTGTACATAAAGGTCCTTTTCCTATTTTTTGTTTGGGATACAGACCTAGTAGTGGTATTGCTAGGTCAAAGGGTATGCACAGTTTGATTGCCCTTTGGGCATAGTTCCAAATTACTCTCCAGAACGGTTGGATCCATTCACAACTTCACCAACAAAGCATTAGTGGCACACGACCTTTCTAAAGCCAAGCAAAGAGTGGGGCCTGGGGTGGGGGATCCCTGGGGTATAAAACCACAGAAAATCTAAAGAGGATGAGGACTGAGAAAAGCACACTAGCCTTGGCCACCTGCAGGACCTGGTGATCTTGTAGTAGTCTGGGGTGGGGGGAGAGGATCAGTTATTGAAGATCACTCTGCTCCTCTCCCCTGCTTGGGGGCAAGCTAACCCTTATTTCACTGCAGAGGAACTAAGGCCCACAGAAGCACAAGGGTTAAGATCTGGGTCTCACAGCATGTCAGGGACAGAGACACGACTGGAACCTAAGTGTCCAGACCCCCATCCCTGGGCTCCGACCAGTTCCCAGCCCCACGGAAAGTGATGGCAAAACAAAAGTGGGGTAGGAGGCTGTGTATGCGTCGGGGAGAGATGGGAGGAAGCAGAGCCACCTCTCGGAGTGAACAGGGGCCACAATGAGGCTGAGGGGCGGGGCCACAATAGGGTTTGTGGGCGGGGCTTTGGAGCGGGGGGTCGGGGTGGGGCTAGGCTTAGGGGACCCGGGCGTCCCACCAGGATGGTCAGTTTGTTTCTGAGCCGCTGCTTCTTCAGGCTCCTCCCACCGCTCTGCTGGGGACGAAACAGGTGAGTGCGGCCCCCGAGGTGGCTGCCGGTCTTCCCCTCCCCCCAACCCAACTTTCAATTATTTGCCGGATGTTAGCTTCTACATAATTGCCTCAGGGCCGGCATTTCCATTAACCACCCCAAATCTGTCACTGACCCCTCCAAAGCCCCTCACTGGGAACCCCCAAACCTCTCATTGATCCACCCAGAGCCCCCTCATTGTGAATCCCAGACCTCCCACAGAACACCCCAACCCCTCACTGATTCCCCTCGAGTCTCCTGAGGTTCCTCCCTGTCACCCTGATTCTTGCCACTTTGGGGGGCAAGGGGCCGTGGAGTCCTTGGTTTCTGTCTCTGGAAGCGGGGTGACCTTGGTGTTCTGGGCTCCCAGTCGTCGTCCCCCCTCCCCATTCCTCCCACTAAAAGATCTCTCTGTTTGTTGTCGGGGTGCCTCGGAGACCGGCCGGAGGCGTGGCCGATTTGACTACTACAGCCCTAGCGGCCAAATTCTACCAGTACGGAAGAGGGCTGCGGGCTCCTGGGGGTAGCCTTTGGCGGGGGGGGGGGGGGTCGACAGCAGCTTCTGCCTCTCAGGTGCCGTAAACCTCGTCCAAAGTCCGGGATGGATAACAGCGTGTGGGTGGGCTCTTGGCGACCCCACCGACCCCGGGGCCCCATTGCAGCACTCTACAGTGGTCCTGGGCCCAAGTACCAGCTGCCCCCTAGCACCGGTATGGCACGTCCGGGATGAGGGGACTGGGAGGTTCTGAGGGAGACAGGACTTGGAGCCCCCAAACCTACGGCAGCCCTAGTGTACTAGCCCTCCCCCACTTCTCCCTCGGGAGACTGAGGGAGGGCTGTGGGTGACAGTAGGATCCTATTAGGCAGGACGCCCAGCCTCCAGCCTCGGGAGGCAGAAGGGGCCTGGGCAGAAGAAAACCTAGCCCGGCGAGGACAGTGAGTCTCTAACTCGGCCGAGTCGTGGGGAACCTGGGAGATCGATGGGCGGTCTCTGGGCAGGGAATGGGGTTGGACTCCCCCACCCAACTCTGCATCCCCTTCTGCCCTGGATTCCCTCCTTCCCCCAGGTTATAAGATGCACGACCCATCCCCGTTTCCGGGCACCTGCCTACACATTCGGCACCAAGATCCCCGCACACCACGTGACGTGTGGCCCCGGCCCTGGGCACCTCATCCCGCAGCGCATGACAGTTCGGGGCCCCGACGGCGGGCCTGCCTTCTCCATCTACGGGCGGCCCCGAGATTGCCGCCTGTTCCGCACTCCGGGCCCTGGTCAGAGAGGACCCAAGCGGAGAGTTCACCGCACCCCGCGCTGGGTCCCAAACCTAAGCCCTAGGCCCCGCCCCCATCCCCTAATAGTTTGGCTCCGAATCTCTAGTCTGGGTCCTGCTTCCCACCCCACCCCACCCCCAACCCCCTAGCCAGTGCCTAGCCTTCTCAGTTCTCCCCTGATAGGACGCGGAGACAGAAAGAGGATCTGCCTCACCCACACTGAGGAGGAACCCACCCAGACAGCCCTAAGGTCCCTTGACTTGGACAACCCAGCTAGATTCCACTTTGGCACCTCAGTGGCGCCCCAGCAGACGGCACTCCGGCCCGAGTCTCCCTTCTCTGGCCGCCACCACCCATGGATCTAGGGCCCAAGTGTCCCCTAGCCTACTTGAAAAGCCCTCAGCCCAGGCCCTTCAACCGTGTCACCCAGGGACCGACCGCAGCCCTCCTCCCCGCAGGTCTCTACTTTCCAGAGCGAGCCACCCATCTCACATTCCCCAAAGCCCCCAGGCATTCTATGGCGGGCCGTGCCAAAGACTTTCAGGAGGACCGGACCCCCGGTGAGCCCCCAATCTGCCTTCCAGACTGGTCTGGAACAGCACCTAAACACACACACACACACACACACACACACACACACACACACACACGCACACACGCATGCACGCACAGGCGCGCGCGCACACACTCATACTCGCACACACGCGCTCACACCCCTTGCTCCGAGAGCTGGCGGGGCAACGCGGGGCAGAGCCAAGAAAGGCAGTGTGGGCAGGTTCCTTCCCTTCCCTGGGCCTCGGTTTCCCGGTTATAAAATGAAACGATAAGGTTAGAGGGACTGACGATCTCAAAGTCCTTAAAGGTCCAAGATGATAAGGAGGTCATTACCCCCGCCTCCCACCCCAGCAGTCAGGGAACAGATTTCCCATAACGTCACCTCCCCGGCCCAACCTGCTCTCCTCGCCTCCTCTGCGCCCCAGGCCCCGCAGCCTACACGGTTCCCTCGCTCTTGGGCTGCCGTCTGATCGACAAGGCTTCGGCTCCCACTTACTCCATCTGTGGCCGACGTGCTACGGGCGGCTTCTGCCAAGACCTGAGCAAGGTGGAGATGTGGGAGGACCGCGCGGGGCAGGGCGGGACCGAGTGGGATGGCAGGGAAGAGAGGTGAGAGCGAGGCAGACTGCCCGAGCGGAAGGTCTGAATCGCCACCCCCCTGCCCCTGCAGACCCCGGGCCCCTGCGCTTATCACGAGGTGAGTCCCGGCGTGTACAAGACCAGGGCTCCACAGTATACAATGCAACCCCGCACTTCCCTGCCGCAGGACAACTCTGTGAAGCCTGGTCCAGCAGCCTACCATCCTCAAAAGGTGGGAGCTAGGGATCTCAAGCTGAGGGCGGGGGAACAGCTGACTGGGGGGACAGACTGGGTGGGGGAAAGAGGGAGAAAGGGCAGAGGGGAGGAGAGGAGAAAGAGACAGAGAGCTACTGGCAGAGAGAAGGAGAGACAGAGAGAGGAGAGAGGAGGGAGAGAGAGGAGAGAGACAGACAGAGACAGAGAGAGACAGAGAGAGAAGGGGAAAGAGAGACAGAGAGAGCCAGATAGGCAGACCCAGAGAGAGAGAGAAAGATATCCAGGGGAGAGAGCAGAGGACTTGGAGAGATGTGGAGTGCTCCAAGAGGTGGGAGCTAAGGGTCCTCAAAAAGGTGGGGTATTCAGGGAAGACTTTTAGGGAGCTTCGAGAGGGGTCTCCAGCCTCTGCTTCAAGAGAATTTGGAGAGATGGGAGAACGGGAGAAACATCCAGAGAGATAAGATCTCCTAGGGCCTAGGGGCCTCAGGGGAAGGCGAAGGGCTCAGGGGGCTTAGAGGCCTAGCCAGCGGGCATGATGGTGGGGGACTCCTGCTCAGCTCTCCCTTTCCCCTGCAGTATCGCCAAGCACCCGGTCCCTCCTTCGGGATCCGCCACTCTGCATACGAAGCCCCGCTCATCGTGGATCCACAGGATTGATTACTGTGAGGCCGGGCAGGCAAGACCCCACTCCCCACTCTCCCGTAAAGCGTCCTGGCCCAGACCCGCCTCTGTCCACTTGTCCGGCCACCCCCATCCCCCTGAGCGTCTGCGCGTGTGGCTGTGGCCGCCACCTCCCTTCCCTCGGCAGAAAGCAGGCCCCCGGCGGACCAGAGAGCATCCTCCCTTTTCCTCAGATTCTGGGCAGCAGTGCCCCGACCACCCTTGCACCTGGAGTCTGAGCCTGTCTGTCTATCTGTGTGCCTGTGGCCCCATGTGGGAATAAGCCTCCATCTCTAAGCTCTGCTCCTTCATCCCCTAGGCCTGAGCTAGCAGACACTCTTACCAGCCCCAGCGCCCACCAGGTCTGCAAAGGGCAAGATACACTAACTGCCTCTGTGGTTCCATTTTGGGCCCCTGGGGCCTCAAGCCCTGGCCCACCCACAAGCAATCGCCCCTGCAAACTGGAGAAAGTCCTGAGTCTAGCAGGGGGCGGGGCACGGTGAGGAGGAAAACCTTTCCTATACTCTGCTTTCCCCACTGTGTCCCTCAGTCCCCACCCTGGCCCAGGCTAGCCTTTGGGTTTGTTTGAGAAGTTGGCCATGTAAACGGCCCCATTTAGCTTAAAGACTGTTGGACCACACGGCAGTGGGTAGGAGGGGAAGACGGAAAGGTTCCACCTGCGAAATGGCTTGAGAGCCTTATCTTGGCTTCCATCATGCCTCTGACGCTCCTTACGTCATTCTCTTACCTCGGTTTCCATCTTGGTAAAATGGAGATAATAACACAGGCACTATCTCCACCACTGTGAGCAGTGTTTTTCAAATCCAAGAGCTCTATATACATGGTGTTACACTTGTCCTTAGAGTCTTTTAATGCCCTGGAGCTAGGCCCCACTTCTAAGATCGTGACCATCTGGGGTGCCTGCTCTTTTGCCTAACACTGTGCCGGGGGATACAAGGGCCTTGTGAGACAACTCTTATCTACAAAAAGTTTACAGTCTTCTGTTCAGGAAGAGGGCTACTTAGCCCACATCAGCAGGCTGGTTAGGGAATAGCACAAGGCAGTCCTATTGGGCTGAGGGCCAATCCAGAAAGCCCCTGTGAGAGGGCAGAGTACCAGGGACTGGACCCTCTCCTACCCTCCAGCCACAACCTCCCACCCCCAACCCCACTCCCTGGCTCTGCTAGCACAAGCAGCCTGCTGGTAGGGCACACAAATAGGCTTCCAACCTGGTACATCAATGACACTAATGATTCAAGGGAAAGCCAGGGACCTCTGGAAACAGCGCTGGGCTGCACACAGCTTGTCCACTTTCCCCCACATTCCCTGGAAACGAGTGAAGCTGGGTTCTAGCATTCAGTTCTCACCAGGACTCAGACCCAGCGGCACAGTTGCTTGGCAGAGAGTGCCCTAAGCTCTGACTCAGAAGTCTTGGGTTCAAATTCAAGATCTCCTGCTTACTAATTGTATAGCCCTAACTAAATCATTTCCTGTCTCCAGATCCCAATTTCCTTTGTAAATGACTGCAGAACGGGCGGGGCAAACCCCAAATTCATGCTGATTAAGCCTTTTATCAAGGACTTGGATAAAGTAATGTTTAACCAATCTGGGAGTTATACAAAGCTGGGAAAGAAGAGAAATGCATTGGATGAGAGGGTGCTAGGCTTTTACCCTAACAGGCTTCTTTGACCAGCATGGGACTGAGCCTAGCGATCTTTTTTCTATTATTTTTTCTTCATGGAAATAAATGTAAAGTCTTACATTTGGGTTGAAAAAAAATCTATTTGAACACAATATGCCAGAGGTTGTCTGACTAGAGGAAAGGACAGAGAGACTCTTAAGTCCTTATGCCTGGAAGCTCTGCCTCTCAATGTAGCATAGGACCATCCCATTGGTTTTTCTAGCTGCCACATCACTGTCAAGCTTGCTGTCCACTAAACCCCTCAGGTCTTTTTCTCTCCAAACAAACTGCTATGTAACCATGCCTTTCCCAAGTTAAGTTTGTGTAGTCAATTTTTTGGAACTTGAATAAAAGATTTGATTGCAATAGGTGGGGTAGGGAATGTGTGCTAAATGTACCCTGGATTGGTTTTCCTACATTATGCTTTAACAGAAACAAGTAACTATCAGCCTATCACATATTCCACAGAGGGAGACAAAGGACATTGTCTGGCCACTAAGAGCACACTGACTGCCTTTCCATGAGTAATCTGCTTTGGAAACTTCATTATAGCTCTGGTCCCTGTCCCTGGCTTGGCAATATGATCTATCATTTTAAAAATATTTATTAATATTTTGTTTCTTACTTAGCCATAGTTATCCCAAGTAACCCTCCCCTTTCCCCTCCCAGAGAGTCATTCTGGGACAAATAGTATTTTTTAAGAGAAGAATAAACAAGTCAGCACAATGGATCCATACATAGAAAAAGTCCGAAAACATGTGCCATGTGCAACAGCTGTGGACCTCCCAAATCCAAGTACAAGTAGGTTGGAGGTGTCTTCTGTCTTCATGTAAGTCCTGCTTGAGCTTTCTAATTTTGTTAATTTATTCTTGGGCTGTTTTTTTTTTCTGGTGTGTCATTGTTTTTTCCATTTCGGTTGTTGTAATTACCATGTAGATTATTTTCTTGGCTCTGCTGACTTTCCTCTGCATTGGTTTATATAGGTCTTTTCATGCTTCTCTGTATTCATCACACACATCAGAGCAGTATTCCATTACATACATGTACAACAATTTGTTGAGCCACTCCCCAATTGATGGGCATCTACCAGATTCCCAATTCTTTGTTTGCTATCAGAAAAGGTTGCTGTAAATATTTTAGTGTATATGAGCATTTTCTTCTTATTAATGGCTTCCTTGGGGTATAAGCTCAATAATGGAGTCTCTGGTTCCAAGGCTATGTACACTTTAGTCACTTTGTTTGCATAATACCATTGCTTTCCAAAATGATTATACCGTTTCACAGCCTATCCTTACACAAGCCCTCCAACATTGTTGTCATTTTTTTGTCATTTTTGCCAATTTGCAGGGTATAATGTGAGACCTCAGGGTGGTTTTGATTTGCATTTGTTTTTTTGTTAGTGATTGGGAACAATTTTTTCATGTGGTTGTCAAAACTTTGCAGTTCTTTTGAGAACTGTTTGTTCATAGCCTTTGACTGATATATATATATATATATATATAATCATATATATAAAATCATATAATCACATCATATGTAATCATAATCATATAAGCCCTTATCCAGTATTTATTTTTTGAACATGACCTATGATTTTATTGGTCTGCAGAGCTTCTGGCAGGGGATTTTCTCTACCAATGCAGGGCAGCATTTTCTCAGCAATTTTAAGTCTTAGAGAGATACCTGTGGCATTGAGAGGTGAAGAGACACAATGATAATTTAGTATTATTTTTGTTGGAACTAGCATTTACATACCCCTTTTATTTGTGCGGAGCTCTCTGGAAATATTATCTTATTTGATCCTCACAAAAACTCTGAGAGGTATTATCCCCATTTTATAGGTGAGGAAACTGTGGCAGCAGAGGCTAAGTAACCTGCCCAAGGGTTTGAGGCAGGATTTGAACTCAGATCTTCCTGACTTCATGTCCAGTGCTACAGCCATTGTGCCAGAGTCACACAGCTAGTATGGGTCAGAAGTGGGACTAACCTAGTCTTCCTGACTCTGAATCCAGCTCTCTACCCATCATATTTTGTTACTGCCCATAATCTACAGCTCAAATACAAGATCTCCCTCAACTAATGAATTCCCCTCCCCTCACTAACTCATAGGACTTAACAATTCAAGTTATTGCTTGTTATTCAGTCATTTCAGTGGCATCTGACTCTGTGTGACTCTATTTGGGCTTTTCTTGGCAAGGGTACTGGAGTGGTTTGCCATTTTCCTCTCTAGGTCATTTTACAGATGAGGAAACTGAGGCATGCAGGATTAAGTGACTCGCCCAGGCTCACGCAGTTGGACAGTATCTGAGGTGACATTTGAACACAGATCTTTCTGACTCCAGGTCCAGGGCTCTCTATCTACTAGCTGCTCCATTAAATAAATTTAATTAATTCAAGTAAGTAGCACAGTATTAAACCAAGTCAACAATCATTTATTAAGTGCCTGTTAGTGTTTGTGCTAAGCACCACCATACGAAGTGTGAACCCCAAACCTTGTGAACCCCACAAACCCCAATTTATTATCTAAGAAAGAGACAAATGAAATTGGGGTAGATGTGTCCACAGTTAATTTCTCTCAAGCTGGCTTGATACGCATTGCGTGAGAGTTCAGTCCAAAACTGAGCCCCTCTAAGAGGGCCACTTCAGAACTGACTCATTTAGGGATTTGGGGTACAGCCTTACATGCCCTTCAAAGAGTAGGTGTTTCCAAGGGATGCCAATCAACTGTGATTGGCCAGTATACAAGGAGGTGGGTTATATATTAAAATGAGATCTTGAGTCAGTGCTTGGGATCACTCAGTGATGTCATCATGCCATCAAAGGAAATACCACCCCCAGTCTCGGGAGTCTGTCTCTACCCAAACCTGAGTAGGACAAAATCAATTCAGGCCTGGGCTGGAGTTTGACCAAGATAAGAAGATTCAGTGCAATTTCGTTATTAGAGATGTCCTTCTGAAGAAATTGTGGTCAGAAGACTGGCAGGGTGGAACGCTGAGTCTCTAAAACACAGATTACTAAGAGAAATCATTTTTCACATTCCCCCATCTGAGTCTAACGAAAGGCATAGCCTTCTCAATGAATCACTGACTGATATGGGCAACATTTCATCAAGGTGTCTTTGGGGATTTGTAACAGTATGGGAGAGGGGAGGGAGAAATTGATCTATCAACACATCGACAAATCAAAAAAGTCCCCTCCACAAGTACAGATACAGAGACCCACAGCGAAAAAGTAATGATAAATTGTTCATTTAATGCTTCTCATACAGCTGTCTGGTTTTCGGGACATCACCTGAGTAAATTTTCTGGTCTGAGTGCTGTTCAAGCAGTGTCCAGCAGACGGTCTTCTTGTAGAGATCCTCTTCCTTGTGTCCGCTCTCCTACAAGATTGATCTCAGCACAATTTTAAATTATCT